GCATATTGGCTCCCCATTGGTACATTACTCTCTTCAAAGTTCCTGTAATTATTGAACCTTCCCCAGTAAGGGATCCTCCCTCCTCTTCTCCAGGGCCTTCCTCGAAATCTCCTTTGGAATGTTGGAAATCCAATATTCGATCCTTCATCATATGAAAGTCTCTCGAAGACATCATTATTTTGAAGTCTGACCCTTCCTTCTCGAGAAGGATACATTTCTTTCCTAACCCATTGTTTCTGATTTCTACTAGCACCAGAACCAACATATTTCTGTTGACTTTCCCCTATCGTTGCTTGGACTGTTTGATCTACTTTATCATTGTCCCTTTTGTTTTGATTCTCGATTTTCTTTTTCTGTCCTGCTCTGAAAGCTTTAGCGGCTGACTTGTCGAACACCGCACAACATCATGGACATAACGTCACATCTTCATCCTTTTCTTTCTTTCTGTTTAAAAACTCGATGAGAGAATCTTCTGATCGAGGATAGATCTCTCTCGAATTCTTTCTCGAACTCGCTTAAATCAAATTCTATGTCTTCTTCTGACATGTCCATTCTGACATGTCTGGGATCAATGTCTTCAGTAACATCAACCATGCCTACAAAGGTCAGATTTGTCAATCAGACATCTTCAGTCATGCCTGTTTGGGATTCGATATACCCTACTTGAACCTCAAATGGACTCGTATCCACTTTCATTGACATCTCCTCGAACTTCAATCTCCCTTGGTCAATCGCATCTTGGATCGTGTTCCTGAAATGTATACAATTATTAGTCCAATGTCCATAAATATTATGAAATTTGCAATATTTTCGACCATTCCTTTGTTCTGCAGAAGACACTTTATGATCATCACTCAACTTAATCTATTTATCTTTCAATAAAATATCGAAGATTTTATCCGCCTTTGTTACATCAAAAGTATATGTTCGATTTTCCATTTTGTCTTTTACTTCATTTTTCTGTAGCAATTTACAAATGTATGAAGCTCCTACTTTAAGCTCTGCTATATTTATTTTCTCATCAACAATTTCTTTAATATTTGTTTCTGCCTTGGGATCTTCCTCATATACATCATTAATATATGCTATTCTTTCTTTCTTCAAGGGGTTCTCAAATTTCTTGTATCTTTGTTTCTCATATTTGATTTGTTCCACTCTTCTTACTTTATCAGCTAACTGAGCCATGTCATTCAACAGTAAATTAACTAACTTTTTCCTAATCGAGAATTCTAAGCCTACAGAGGCCATTCTGACTAATTCATATTCAGGAATTTGAGTAAAGCATCTTGACTTCATTTGTCTAAATCTATTCAAATAATCATCTATGCTTTCATGATTGTATCTCTTTATGTTCATTAAGTCGATGAGACTTACTTGAGTCTCCCCCCTAAAGAATTGCTCATGAAAATTTCTTTCCAATTGCAACCAATTATATATCGAATTGGGTGGCAATGAAGTAAACCAAGTGAAAACATTCTTAGTTAACGAACTAGGGAAATATTTCATTTTTAATTCTTCACTCATCGCTAGGTCCCCACATTCGATCTGATATCGCGCCACATGTTCGATAGTGGACTCACCAATTTCTCCAGCAAATTTGGTGAATTTAGGTATTTTGTATCCTTGAGGTAACTCTGTCTCGAGAATCGTATTTGGAAAAGGAGAAACAAAATATGGTTGATTGGGTGGTCTTAATTCCACTCCTTGGGGATTCATCCTTTGTCCTAGCATGTGATTATATTGCATGTTATTATACATATTTTGAAATTCTTCATTCACATTTCCGTAAATATCATTCCTCACCTGTTGATATTCATTCCCCATGTGCTGATGTTGATCATTGTTTCGATTTCTCCTTAATAAATAAGGGGGATTGATATTAGCATTCTGGTTAAGGTTCTGATTGGCATGATTTTCCACTCTTGTTTGTCGAGGTATAGCCAATGCATCCCCGATACGTGCCATTTGGTCTGCTAATATCTCAAAGCTAGTAGTAGTGTTTTGAACTAATGGGTTTAGGACTGTAGTCAACTGTTGTGATAACATATTAACCATTTCAAAATTGCTTTCATCCATTTGTTGTCTAAGTACTCTTAATGAGTTACTGGAGATTCCAGTACTAGCATTTTCGATAGTCTCAAAATTGGATCGATGATAATCTCTATCGAATGTATATCTCCCATGATCCAGATTTGCTCTGTGATCTAGATTTGGAGGTGTCTGTTGTGTACCTAAATTCTGCACACTCCCTGAATTCTAGGGGGTTACTAAATTTTGAGATGCCCCTAAATTTGGAGATACTCCAAAGTTTTGTGGCATACCTAAAGTTTAAAATGTACCTAAGTTTTGAGGCATTCCTAAGTTAAATCTCGAACTTCGTTGTATTGAAGAGGTACCAGCCCCATTCATATTATTAAGCGAAAAACCAAGCGGCCTTACGCTCATATACGGCCCTGCATATGTTGTTATGGGGTTTCCCATAGTTTGCGTTTGCATATTGTTCGATATCACAGTACTAGACCCTACTTGAGTGTTTGCTAATGTACTTGAACTTTGTTCATTACTCACAGGTATCGACATACTCGCAGTTGTCGATATTACAGACATATTCCCATTATGACCTTGCCCCCCAGTGTTTGGTGGATGTGAACCATTTAGAACCTCACTATTACTCTGATTATTTAGTAGATGACTCATTTTTATTACTCGCCCGCTCCTTAATCTCATACACTTTTGAACTAACCAATTTTGTGTTTTTCGACACAAGACCCCCTACCTGGCGCGCCAATTTGTTTTTGGTGAAAATTTGATCGATTTCGGTTCCTAAGAGATTTTGGTTCTAACCAAATTTCAACCATGTAGATTCTTTTACTTAGGCTAGCAAATAGTTTTCAATCGAAAATATGTATGAGAATCGAAGATGCCATAATATCGAGAATTGTTAACAACGCAACCTATCATATAGATTGACAATCGAAAGTATTATTTTTGGTATTTTTTATTAAGACACGCGAAGTAAAGAAAGCAGTAAAAATATCGAATCGAAAAGCAGTGCAAAATATTAAATTGCAGAAAAATGTAAAATACAAAAACCTCGAAATTGCAGAAATGTAAGTGGCGAGGATCTTAAACGCATAACCTTAACTTGCATAGAAGTAAGTGACAAGGAATTGAAAGTGCAGAAACTTAAAGTTGCTTAAATGTAAACTGCATCAAAATAAATTGCATGAACATAAATTACCAGGGAAAGTACAAAAAGTGGTAAAGACAATCAATGAAAATGGAAATCCAGATCGCCAGAAACTTCATGATTTCGTCGTTCTCCAGTAGACTTTTTCACTAGTGTTTCAGTTCTCTCTGCCAATTTCCCCCTTTCCTTCATTCTTTGCTCTATTTATAGAGCGCCTTTCAAGTAACCTCCTAAGAGTAGTTAACGAAACTGCCACCACGATCCATCATGCATGTCCCTCAGTTCCACGGTTTAAAAAACTATATTTCACATTCCCATGCATGAGATAACCGCTCCCTTGACCTTCGATCTCTGCCACGATTTAGAAACCGCTTCCCATGTTCTATGTGCGCGTTAACTGTTCCTCTCTTTCTAACTTAGCCAGAATTTCGATGGCCGTTCATGTTAACTTTTCCCTCGATTTCGATTTCAAAATCTCGAGAACTTTGCATTGCTTTTTTGATTCCCCTTAACCTTAACATTACATGATTCTAATTCCTCGATTTTCTTCAACAATAGACATTAAATACTCCTCCTTCGATTCTCGATTCTAATTCTCGATTTATGTGTTCATACTGTTACATGGTCATCGAATGTTTTCCAACCATCTTTTCACTTTATCAGTTTTTTAACCAATCATATGATCCTCGATTTTTTTTCTTTCCTTCGTTTTTCGATCCCTTTATCGATTTCCTACTAACAGGAACATACTCATTATCACACACCATTCTCTCTAAAAACAATAAATAGGGGGATGGATGAAAGAGTAAAAAAGATAATTTGATGCAGAATAATAAAAATAAAAATCAAATTGCAATAGAATAATAATGATAATTAAAATTAAATTAAAACAAAATTTAAATAAATAAAATTTATAAAATTAAAACAAAATGTTTTTAATTAAATTAAAAAGTTTCCAAAATAAAAAGCATGCTTTAAAATAAAAGAGTGTAGTAATTAAATTTAAAATTTCTAAAAGCGATAACTCCAAAATTAAATTGAGAATTATAATTAAAATCGGAAAAAAGATGAATTAAAAATAAAAATTACTTTTCTAATAAAATAATATTATTTTTATTTTATTGATAAAATAATTATAATTTTATAAAATGAGTCGGCCCATAAACTTACAGGTTAACTAACTTAAGCCATATTAAATATGACCTAAATAGATTAGACCAAAATTTACCTTATTATATTTAGATAATAAATTTTTTTGACTAGCTTGACTTATTTTTTGAATCTTTCAAACTGATTTATGGGTTAAATTTATTTTTACATCCTTACCTATTGACTAGTTTGACTTATTTTTTTGAATCTTTCAAACTGATTTATCGGGTTAAATTTATTTTTACATCCTTACCCCAAACAGGCTGGCAAAATAGTAACCCAAACCAATATTGTCCAATTGTTCTCATATATATAGCCAAATAAACCCATTATATAGCTAAATATCTTCCCTGTAAATATTTTTTGTTACCGAACATCCAAGAACTTCTCTCTATTGTATATATTCCTGTATGATTTGCTGAAAGGAATGTACATTTATTCACAAGCAAATCATTACCTCATTGTCCAAAATATCTCGTTATTGTCTTTATTCTCTTTTTTGTTTTTATTCATTATAAGTTCAAAACCATTACCCTTAAAGAAAGTCAATTGATCATGTAATAATCCTCAAGTACTTGGTCTTTGAGTTACGGAGTGTGTTCAAGATCATTTGATCCAAATTCCTCATGGATTCTTTCTCCTTCTCATGGCTTCACAAGCCCTATAGCATGTTGCTTCCAAATGCAAATTCATCTGAAACAACTTTAGAGCTTGGAATGTCAGCATTGTGATCGGTTCCTGGTGCAACAGTAGGAGAGCATGTTCCACTATGAGCCGGTGTCCACATTTGCAAACCACTGCTTGCCAAACCATCTTCTTTGAAAGCAAAAAGGTTTGAGGAGATCAAGCTGAATGTTGGTGAGGTTGGATTAACATGAGGAAGTTTGATCCCAGCAAACCATTCATGGTCAATAACCTGGCGAGCAGGGCTTGGAGCAGAGCTGAATGTTGGTGTAAGGGGATGAGGATGGGCTTGGGAAGGAAGATGAGTCGGGGGCTTGGATTGTATGAGCACATGGACTTGGATGGTAAGATGAGCATGGACTTGCTGCTGATGATCCACCAACTATGTCCATGCGCTCTAAAGGCTTGCATCCCTGATTGTACAAAAATGTTTCCATTAACTGATCATAATAAGTAGGGTAGCATTTCTTAACCTACCATATAGTGCAGATGCATAGAGGTAGGATTTGCATTGCCAGAAAAATTTCAAATAGAACATTTAACTAGTTAATTAGTCATCAACTACATGAGAAATGCTAATAAGACACTTGTATTAAAGGTTTGTTTGGATTAAAAGATGTTTATTAAGGGTTTGTTTAGGTTAGAAGATGCATTATATAAGATAAATTAGTTTATGGATGAGGTAAAGACCAGATTTTTGGGAAGCTAACGGAGAATAATTCTTACAAATTAGCTCACTCAAACTAAGTTTAGTCAAATGCAAAGTTTAATTTTTTCCTTATTTTTATCTACAAAAGTCTTTGAATAGAAGTTTATTCAGCATACTCTAAATGCATGTCAGTAGTGCAAAAAAGGGGCTTTTACGTCAGGTATTTAGGGCTTTTTACGTCGTATTTAAGTCTGACGTTAAAACGGGAGACGTAAATTTACGTCGGACCCTTTAGCCCGACGTAGATTTACGTCAGTTATCAAGACCTGACGTAATTTTGCGTGACATATACCACTAAATAGATGTAAAAACTTTCGAAAAAAAAAAACAGCAAATTTACGTCGCATATGCCATATGCGACGTAAATTTGCTGTTTTTTAAAAAAAATTGGGTTTATTTATTCTGTTTTACAACTAAAACCTGTAAATATTACAACCAGGACAGTCCAGAGGTTCAATTTTCTTTAGCTAGTAAATTAAAAATATAATATTATATAATTCAAACTACATAATAAAATAATATAATACAAACATACAAACTAAAAAATCTATTACAAACTAAAAGTTAATACAAACTAAGCTACCTAAACTACATAATACACACAATATAATATGAACAAGAACTTAAAAAATTATGTACTAGAATTGTTGAACAAAAAATTTTGCCCATTGTTCTCTAATTTGTGTAATATCATATTACGGTAATGGAGATGGATCTTGAAATACCGAAACATGAATTTGACTCTTGTAAACATGCAACATGAATAAAGTTAAATAAACTTAACTAATGTTAAAAGTAATTACCTCCAGTCCAAGAATCAATTAAACCCGCACAAACTATGGCTCTCATCCAATACATTACATAGTAACCACATTCAAACGAGTCTGTTTGCTTATTACACTTGAAATGATGAAAAAAACATAATATTATTTTCAAAATTTAAATACAAACAATAATTATGGTATTCACTTATATAAATAAGTTTCTAACCTTAGGATAAATGAGCTGCAAAGTCTTTGTTCTAGGTTTTCCACTTAGAACATTAGTTCCAGACACGATTCTAAGTGAAAAAAGTCATATATTATTCAATATGTATTTACAATTTAAAAACATAATTAATGAATAAAAGATAAACTTACCCTTGTAATAAGCTTTTCATTTCTTGACTCGGTTTCCGATATAATGAACAAAACCACACCACGAGTGTAATCCCAGGGTATGATTACAATTAGCTGCCAATGGGACCTACATTGTATGACATAAAAATTAGTTACAAAAATATAAATTAAAATACAAATTAAAATACTAACCCTTCAATGTATGGAGCCAAATATATATGTCTTTTTGAGTCACTCATCCATGTTTGCATATATTGTTGGATTCCAACCTTTGTATTTCCAGATTTTTGGATGGATTGAGGCTCGATAAATCCGTATACTTCGGATTTTTCTTGTTCCACACTCAATTTGTCCATGTACCTAAAACAATTAATTATAAGTTGAATATAATTATTATAATCTTAGAAAGATAAATGAGAATGACTTACATTGCCCACAATTGTATGATGGAAATGTTTAACATGCAATTTCCCCGACAATTTCTAAAGCATCGGGCAAGGAAATGTATAATGGAATACTTGGAACTGTCAATTCCAAACACTCTAACATCCCATTGTATCTGACATGGTCTCTTCCTCAACTAGTGGTAATATGGTCAACAACATAGAGATGAGATCATCATCACATTCAGTCAGATCCTCATCAATAATAGGTTGTTTTTTATGCTTACCACGACGCAAGGCCTCCTAAACAAATGATAACAATGAATTAAACATTTATATAATTATAATAGTAGAAAAGAGAAAATAGACAATATATATATATATATATATATATATATATATATATATATTACCTTGGTGCTGTCTTGATAGTGGCATAACCAAACGTCTTGGCCAAGCCAAGAATGTCCAGCTTACCTTGCCCCACTAATTGAATCTCTTCATTAGGAAAAGACACTTGGAGCATTAGCATCATGAACTTCATCAACTACTACTCATGTCCGAGTCTGCTGTAGAGGGACACCATGGATGGTTAAGCCACCCTCAAAAACTCGACCAATAGCCACTAGACGCGGGGGTCATCTTCAACATATAACTCACACTTGGTGTGATGCATCGATCCGAGTATATTCTCCTGAAGGATCGGCGGTAGTAGCAGCACAACTCCCTTTAGTGCTGACTCGAACAACATCATGTTCAATTGTTTGAGGTGTTCCTTGAGTGCATTGCTTGAGAGCGGGCGAGAGATTCAATTTTTTCATCAAACTCTTGCTTGCAAGGAGTGCCTTATTTGATTTAACTTTTCTTCAAGCTGCATCTCCATTTTATGCAAGGCCTCCAGGCTGCAAGAGTCGGCGGTGGTCCTTCGTGATGTTGGACCAAAGTAATCACGAAGGCCCCAGGTTCCACCAGCACCACGCACACGTCCTGAGTAATCTGGTTTTCTTATGGTCGTCGCCAATATATCTTGTCGACCATGAGGAATAAATGATCCTTGGGTGATGCCGCTCAACTAAATCATCCTACAACACATTAACAATAATTAAGTCATACACTAACTTTCACATTAGAATCAATTCAAATTGACATTATAACTTACGATTTTACGAGCAATGATTCGTGCGGACTCGGAAGTCATTTGTCCATCGAGATTTTGTCGGGCTGCCTTCCACATCGATAGCGAGGGGTGGAGATGCAAGGTCGATAGAATCAACTCCTGCTGACTCTTCTCCGGATTTCATGAGACGTTGCTCCAATAATGCATACCCTCCTCGTGACAATACATGGGGTGCATCATTCAACCTCGACGTTGTTGGGCGGCACGTCTTTTATCCTGCCAAGAGGGGTCCATTCGGGTGGCACAAAGCTGTAACCAATCCTCCTCACTAATTTGATACTTTAGACAGGGAGATTCATCTTGAAACTTTCCAAATACATACTCCCATGTCAAGAAAGTCTTAAAGTCCCTCCATCTAATGGCAATGGAGGATAAAATCTTCTTCCTCATCACCTCGGTGTTAGGAACATCAAAATTTTGTTGTGAAATGACCAATAAATGTTAAATTCAATTAATAATGATATATAAAGTATTCAACAAATATAGAAATACCTGAACATCCTGCCACATGAGGTTCTTCTCGGTTTCCTCTACATCATCCCAAGATGGAGTAGTAATCGGAACATGGTGTCGAGCTAGTAGTCCCAAATAGCTCTTAAACTTAGCGACATTTGGGCCGGATGCCTTACCGAACGTGGATCAACTTCAACTTGAGTTTTCTCTCTAGCTACCCTCCTTCGTTGTCAACCCCTTTAGCAGGAGTGACGGATCTACCTTTATCACCACTTTCGCTCACCTGCCACTGCCACTACCACTACCGAGTACCAGTTGTGGAATCAGACATATCTCGAAAAACAAAACAATATGAAGTCAACATACTTTATAAGTTTGAATAAAAAGAACTAGAAAATGTGAAGATAAACACCTATTATGTTGGTATGTTTTCCCATATCCCTTCATCATGATCACTTCGAATTGCATGTATGTCATCAACTTCATTGTCAACTATGTCATCAAATGGTCTACTTGAAAATGAAGGTGTTTCATGTATATCTAGAGACTCTTCTTCATGAATTCAGTGCATGCTTCTTCCTTCAAGGACAATTGACCATCTCTCATTACATGGATCCTTGACATAAAATATTTGTCTCGCTTGATATGCCAAAATAAAAGGTTCATCCTTATACCCAACTTTACTCAAATCAACCAAAGTAAATCCTAGGTCATCTGTTACGTACACCGTATTCCCTTCAACCCATTTACACTTGAAGACAGGCACCCTAAAAGTAACATAATCAATTTCCCATATCTCTTGTATGACCCCAAAATAACTCATAGAAGTTTGTGATAGGATTTTTGTCTTTAGAACTATAAAAATGCATAGATTCGAGCTTGAATTGTGACCCCACTATTTTGTACTCTACCTTTATCATCTTCTATTTTTGAGTAGAAACAATAGTTATTAATGTCATACCCACCAAATGTAATGACATCACTATTAGGCCCACGAGCAAGTCTCAAAAGTGTTTACGAAGCATTAATCTCAACATATACCCTTTTTTTAAACCAAGAAAGGAAACTTTTGTTATGTTCATTCAATACCCATTTTTCATTCATTCGTGGATGTGTTGCCTTTATTTCGGTTATGTGTTGTGATATGTAAGGGATTACTTCATCGGTGTTGTTCAATATGTATAAATGTGCTTGGTCAACTTCTTTCCGACTAACATTTTTAATCTTTAAATTTTGAGTACCCTTACCTTCACATCTTCCATCATGTCTCATCTTAGGAATACCTATTGGTTCCGATTTTGACATGTATCCTAAACAAAACTCAATGGCTTCTTCGCAATGTACCTTTCCACAATAGAAGCTTACGGCCTGTCTTGATTCTTCACATATCCTTTTAAGATCTTCATGTATCTCTCAACAGGATACATCCATCTAAGAAAAATTGGACCACATAATCGAATTTCCCTTACCAAATGGACTATCAAATGCACCATGATATCAAAAAATGAAGGGGAAAATACATTTCTAAGCGGCACACTATTACAATTGCTTC